TGGTCCCAGCTTCTCTCCATAGCCTAAGAAGACATTTTTAACTCTATTCATTTCCCAAATACCTGCATGAGGAGGTAGTTGTAACCTCAGAAGTTTTCACATTCGTTCATCACCTTAAGGTGAATGAAGCCGTTTCATACCCACAACTTGCCCATTTCCCAAGAGACTGTCATGCAGAGGATAAGGTGCAGGCTCTGGCCTCTGGGCTTAAATCACAGCCCTGCCACTTATGACTCTGTGCCTCGGTTTCTTTTATCAATGACGTGAAGGCTATAACTGTGCCCAGTTCACAGGGTGGTGACAATCAAATGCCACAGGGCTTGGCCTTAGTGAAAGGTGGTGATCTTCATTATGATCATTAATCCTACAAGGCAGTAGGGATTGCTTCTCTTCTTTTCCCAGGAGGACCCCAAGTCCCGGAGCTGGAGAGCAGCTTGCCCCAGACATCACAGTGCCCTCTGGGGAGGTGGGCCTACAAGGCATTGATACTGACTTTTCTCCAGGCTCTTTCCCATTTTCCCCTTTCTCTATCCCAGCTATTTTCCTTGTGTCCCTGTTACGCTTCAGTTTCTAGGGCACCACTGGAGGAGAGGAATGGGCAAAGTGACATGGGGGAAAATTCCCAGCCTCATCACATACGTGGCCTAGCCAGGCCCCTCCCACAGTTCCCAGGAGCCCTGGGTCCCCTGACTCCAGCTTCTCTCCCCCTGGCCTCTCTGTCTCCAGGTCAGGGTGTCAAGCTGGATCTGGGCTTGCATCCAGGGTTGCCCTTGTCATCCTCCTGGAAGTAGAAACAAGTCAGCCAGGCCCAGCCCGGCCCAGCCTCTCAGGAAAGTAGACCCACAAAACCAGAGCATTTCCTAATCCCGGGAAGCCCTAACAGGGCCCTGAGAGCAATCCTCTTTCAGTCCCACCCACTTTCCTCCCTGTCCTCTCCCACACCTTCTTCTTCTATGGCCCCTCCCAGCTCTCCCTCCATTCCTCTGTAGCTTAGAAGCCACTATCAGACTTGGCCTCTGTTCCTTGCCTCTCCTAGCCAGGGACTTCCCTGGGCTCTAAAAAGATGCCTGGAGAACGGATGAAGAGGGCTGTTTAGATGAGCTGGACTTTCTTCATCATTCCTGGTTCCAGAGTTTCCTCATCCTTACGGTAACATTTATGGACCACTGAGGATACGGGAGTGGACAAATCAGACCCGCTTCCTGCCCTGTCAGAGCTCCCAGACTCTGAAGAACCATATGGGGCTATTTAAATATAAACAAGTAGAATTAAACTAAAATTAAGTAGAATTTCTAAGGGAAAATCTGGACTGTGATCTAAGAGGAAGCTGCATCAGCTATGTCTGCCAGCCCTTTGCCCACTCCCTGTGCCCTGGGCTCTCTGTTAAAGGTTCCACCACGAAAGAGTCCAGCGGCCCTAGGAGCAGAGCAGGCAGGAGAAAACTGAGAGATCCTTTTGCTCCAGTGTTAAGCATTCCCCTCAGAGGCAGCATCGATTCTTGGTCTCTTCCTACCTAGCTGTGGACTATTATTAAAGTGCCCAGCACACACCTGTACCCTCCCCGTCAAAAATCCCCACTCACGCACAAACAGAATGTACACACACACACAAATGTACACAGTCACCAACTTACACCCACACAGACACAGATATGCTTCAGGGATCTGACACAACACACACGTTCTCACACACACAAACACCCACATCCATGTTCACAGTTGCACACTTTCCTTTTCTTGAGGGAAGAAGACAAAAATAGGCTTTTCTTTTCCCTTTGGAAAAGCTAGTAACAACTAGAAAGAAAAAGACTGGCCAAGAAGGCAGAGCCAGAAGAAGAGGGGCAGGAAGAAGAAACGAGATGGGGGAGAGAAGGGGGTGGAGAAGGAGGCTAGGCAAGGAGCAGGGCCTGGGAGCCCAAGAACTGGGTGGGAAGAGCAAGCTGGGCTGGGAGCAGCAGACCCTGGCTGGCAGGACATGGGAGGCCAGGTGGCTCTTGGCACCGAGCTGGGGGTGTCTGGTGGCCCCAGCACCCTTGTGCGGTGGGCCCTTTCCCCTGTCCTGGCTCACCCACTCCCATCTGGTCACTCACCTGGGGAAGGGCAGGAGAATACGAGGGTGTGCGCACCGGGGACAGTCGTCCCTATGAAGGCTCCTTGGCTCACTGCTTCTGCAGGAAGGAGGGCTGGGCTGAGCTGACTTTTAGGCAGGAGGGGAATTCCCCGAGATGGAGGAGCTGCCACCAGGCAGCCCTGCAAGGTCCAGCTGAGGCCCCAATCTGCCCCCTAGCAGAGCACAGGGCCCTTCTTTGTCAGCCTCCACCTGTCACTTCCCAGACTAGCTGTCCCATGCTGTGAATTCCAGAGAGTTGGAGGGTGGATCTGGGGAAGAGCTGGAAGCCTGATGCTTCCTCAGCTAGACTGGGAAGAGGCACTGGAGCAGGGGCTAGGGCAACCTGGCCTGGCCTCCCTGGGTTCTCCTGAAGATCTCCATTTCCTCCTTCGCCTAACGTGGGGGATTCCAGTGCTCAGGCCCCTGAGGAAGCTGCCAGGTACTCTGCCCACATCCTCCCACCCTGTTCCTATCCCATCTGTTTCCATTTACTCTCTGAGGCTTCTCCATCCACAGTGAAGGAGAGGACTGCTCCTTGCCTGTTGCATACTGGGTCACATTTGGATGTCAAGTAAGGCCTTAGAAACCTGCAGCCCAGGAGTTCTGCACTGACCAGCTGGAGATCCTGAACAAGTCACCTGGTCATCCTGAGCCCCAGTGAGCCCCGCTGTAAAATGTGGTTCATAAGTCCTGCTTTGCCTGTCTCCTGCCATTTAATGGTAATTAAAATAAAATGATGGGCCGGCACAGTGTCCCATGACTTATTAATCTCAGCACTATGTGAGGCCCGAGGCAGGCTTGAGCCCAGGAATTTGAGACCAGCCTGTGCAACATGGCAAAAACTCTGTCTCTACAGAAAATACAAAAATTAGCTGGGTGTGGTGGCACTTGCCTGTAGTCCCAGCTACTCAGGAGGGTGAGGTGGGAGAATTACTTGAGCCCAGGAGGTTGAGGCTGCAGTGAGCCATGATCACACCACAGCACTCCAGTCTGGGCAACAGAGTGAGACCTTGTCTCAAAAATAATAATAAATTTAAAAATAGAATGACGGTTTGTAGACATCCTTTGTAAACTACTGACTGCTTTACAAACATAAGGTCTATGTTCCCTATCCCCTGAAAAGATGCCTGGGGAGGTGATAAAGAGGGCCATTTGGATGAGCTGGCCTTTCTTCATCATTCCTGGTTCCAGAGTTCCCTCACCCTTACGGTAACACCTATGGACCACTGGGGATACGGGAGTGGACACATCAGACCCGCTTCCTGCCCTCTCAGAGCTCCCAGACTCTGAAGAGCCATATGGGGCTATTTAAATATAAATTAAGTAGAATTAAACTAAACTTAAATAGAATTAACAGTTCAATTCATCAGTAGCACGAGCTGCATTTCAAATGTTCAACAGCCACCATACTTACTACATCAGACTACACGCATATACAAGACTTCCATTATCATAGAAAGTTCTATTGAATAGCACTGCTCTGGAGGCCATAGGTAAATGAACAGGCTATTGCAATAAAGTACAGGAAAGATGTGTTTTGGCAGGAGAAATGCAGGGGGCTCTGGGAGCCTGGACGAAGAGTTCTGGTCAGGATTTCGGGATCTGGAAAGTCTTCCTGGAGGAAGTGGAACCTAAACTGAGACCTGAAAGTAGCCAAGAAAGAAGATAAGAAAGGGTGTTCTGCCCAAAGGGAATAGAATATACAAAGAGAAGGGAAACTATATTCCGTGAACCATTCACTCCGAGTAGACTAAGGGGTGTGAGGCAGATGGGGAAAGTGACAGAGGTGGACCTGGAGAAATAAACAAGTCCAGGTCTCAAGGGGCCACATGCAGCCTTTGCAGAAGGAGGGGGGGATAAGAGGTAGGGGTGGAGAAGAGTCCACTGAATTTCATCCAACTGCATCTGTGCCCTTCCATCAGGATTACATAGGGATGCTACAAAGACCTCCTAGCCCATTGGCCTCACTTTACAGATAAGGAAGTGGAGGCCAGAGAGGGGAAATACATCTCCAAGTGAGTTAATAGAGGGATTTCCTGACTCCTAGTCCAGTGCTCTTTCCCACACCACACACGGTCCCTCAGTGGCACTTCACTTTTCAAGGGCTCGATTGCCACATGTGGCAAGCAGCTACCATGCCAGACTGCACAGATATTTCCATCATTACAGAAGGTGCAGTTGGATGAACGACACTGGCCCTTGAGCTAGACCAAGGGCAAAAAGATGATATATTTTCCTGTACACAGACCTTTTTCTCTGCAGGGGGTGAAAATATGTGTAGCTCAGCCCTAATGTTCTTGGATTGCAATTTTCTCCCTATAGACAATATTTTCACTTTTTAGAGTTCACTATAATCACAGATTCTCTGTGAATTCACAGAGCCTGGCTTAGACCAGTTCCTGCCCATGGAATCTTAGATGGCAAAGGGACCTTGAAGGGGTAAGGAGGTTCAAGGAGCTGGAGTGACATGAGCTGCGATTTCTAGTTAGAACACCTGGCTGGCACATCCTGTGGGAGAATGGCTTTGAGCTCTCCCTGCTGAAATGCTGAGAGCAATCAGTTTCTCTCACCTCCTCTCTCACCTCTTCTGCCTTCCAGCCATGGAGTCCCTGAAATTGACTTCCCTGTTCAGGCCATGGGATAGACACCAAGGAAGAAGAGGCCCTTGGACTGGGAATCAGTAGAGCTGATTTTGAGTCCTGGCTCTGCCATGTGGCCCTAGGCAAGTCTCTTTTTCTTTGGTCCTCAGCATCTCCTTCTATAATTTAAAAATTTAGACTAGATGACCACTAAGGGACCTTTCATTCTGACACTTTAAGGAAGTCTAAAAGTTCAGAGGAAGGAGAAATCAGGGTGAATAAAGGTGGATGTTAAGTAAGGCCTTAGAAACCTGCAGCCCAAGGAGTTCTGCACGGACCAGCTGGAGATCCTGAGCAAGTCACCTGGTCACCCTGAGACCCAGTGATCCCTGATGTAAAATGGGGTTACATTTTCTGCCGAGATCATGTCTGCCCCGCAAGCACAGAGCCTCGCCCTTGCCGTTCTGTCGCCCATCCACACCCACCGCCAGCTCACCATGGATGATGATATTGCTGCACTTGTTGTCGACAATGGCTCTGGTATGAGCAAGGCCAGCTTTGCGGGCGATAACGCTCCCCAGGCCATCTTCTCCTCCATCGTGAGGCACCCCAGGCACCAGGGCGTGATGATGGGCATGGGTCAGAAGGACTCCTACATGAGTGACGAGGCCTAGAGCAAGAGAGGCATCCTGACCCTGAAGTACGCCATTGAGCACGGCATAGTGTGGCTCCTGAGGAGCACCCCATGTTGTTTACTGAGGCCCCCCTGAACCCCAAGGCCAACTGTGAGAAGATGACCCAGATCATGTTTGAGACCTTCAACACCCCAGCCATATATGTGGCCATCCAGGCCGTGCTTTCCTTGCACACCTCTGGCCATACCACTGGCGTCATGATAGACTCTGGTGACGGGGTCACCCACACTGTGCCCATCTATGAGGGGTATGCCCTCCCCCACGCCATCCTGAGTCTGGACCTGGCTGGCTGGGACCTGACTGACTACCTAATGAAGATTCTCACCAAGCACAGCTACAGCTTCACCACCACAGCTGAGCAGGAAATCGTGCGTGACATCAAGGAAAAGCTGTGCTACGTCACCCTGGACTTCGAGCAAGAGATGGCCACGGCAGCCTCCAGCTCCTCCCTGGAGAAGAGCTATGAGCTGCCCGATGGTCAGATCATCACCATCGGCAACGAGCGGTTCCGCTGCCCTGAGGCGCTCTTCCAGACTTCCTTCCTGGGCATGGAATCTTGTGGCATCCACGAAACTACCGTGACGTAGACATCCACAAAGACCTGTATGCCAACACAGTGCTGTCTGGTGGTACCACCATGTACCCTGGCATCGCTGACAGGATGCAGAAGATCACCGCCCTGGCACCCAGCACAATGAAGATCATCAAGATCATTTCTCCTCCCAAGCGCAAGTACTCCGTGTGGATCGGTGGCTCCATCCTGGCCTCGCTGTCCACCTTCCAGCAGATGTGGATCAGCAAGCAGGAGTATGACGAGTCCCACCCCTCCATCGTCCACCGCAAATGCTTCTAGGCAGACTGTGACTTAGCTGCGTTACACCCTTTCTTGACAAAACCTCACTTGAACAGAAAACAAGATGAGATTGGTATGGCTTTATTTGGTTTTGTTTGTTTGTTTGTTTGTTTTGTTTTTTTGGCTTGACTCAGGATTTAAAAACTGGAACGGTGAAGGTGACAGCAGTCGGTTGGAGCGAGCATCCCCCAAAATTCTACAGTGTGGCCGAGGACTTGATTGTATATATTGTTTTTTTAACTCATTCCAAATATCGTGAGATGCGTTGTTACAGGAAGTCCCTTGCCCTCCCAAAAGCCACCCCACCTCTCTCTAAGGAGAATGGCCCAGTCCTCTTCTGAGTCCACACAGGGGAGGTAACAGCATTGCTTTTGTTGTAAATTATGTAATTTAAAAAGTTTAAAATTTCACCTTAATACTTTTTTATTGTGTTTTATTTTGAAAGATTTTAGCCTCTGTGGCTACCCCTTTTTTTGCCCCTCAACTTGAGATGTACGAAGGCTTTTGGTCTCCCTGGGAGTGGGTGGAGGCAGCCAGGGCTTACCTGTACACTGACTCAAGACCAGCTGAATAAAGTACACACCTTAAAAAAATGGGGTTACATTTTCCAGCAGGGATCACTGGGGCTCAGGATGGTGATGAGCCGCAAATGGTCAAACTCTTTTGACCAGGGGTTCTCAAGTCTGACTGCATGTTTGAATCACCTAGGAAATAAAAACGTAATCACTGACATTTAAGCTTATCACGTGCCAGGCACAGCATTCAGTGCTCTTAAGTGAATTATTTCATGCGTCTCTCTTTAGAACTGTATAGACTGGTACTGATATTCCACAAAAGTAGAAATGAGGCTCCTAGTGGGTTAAGCCAACTTCTAATAAATGGCACAAGTAGAGTTCAAACCCAAGAGATGTCTCCAGTGCTCATGTGGAGGAGATGAGACCTATACTGGATCTTAAAAGAGGGCAAAATTTGGATATACACAAGGAAACTGCCACAGGACCACTCTTTTGACACTTAACTTGTCCAACCCTACCTCACGCAGTCTGGCATCTCTGGTTTTGCTGCTGATGTTGTGGGGACACGGTTGGGCTGGTCTCATAATAGTCATTTGTTACTTGTTTAGGGAATGAACTAATTTGACTCTGTGGGTTTCTCGGTTCACCAATTCTGTTGAAAGCTCCCCAAGGATGGAAACTCTTCATGCCATTAGGACCTAGCCCAGGATTTAACAGATTTCTGGACCCTATCACAGAGCTAAGAAATCAGACTCTCTAATGAGGGGATCCCTAGAGGCAGCACTTTAATTAAACTCCTTGATACTCAGTAGGGTTTGAGAAGCCAAAACTCTCTGAGCTGGATCTTCCAACTCCAAGGTGAGAATTATCTGCTCACATACAGGCAGCCAAGCAGAACTCGTCAGGAACGTGGTAGATACTGAGGATGTGTTTACTTCCCTGAGTCCCCCAAGCATCAAATCTATGACTTTTGCAAAGTCCCACTCAAGCCAATGAAGTTACCTTCATATCTGAACTTTGAGGACAGGCAGCTAGAAGAGGTCATAGAATCATAGTTTTTCAGGTATCTACTGGCTCAATAGCCTACCCAGAGCCAGCACATCCTTCTCATTGGCAGGTGGTCAGCCAGGTTTTGCTACCATACTTCTAATGATGGAGAGCTCACTACCTTACAGGTAGTTCATTGCATTGTCAGTCAGCTCTTATATAAAGCTCAGATCTGCCTTCCTCTCCTTCGGATGGGTGCCTATCAATGGCTGACATTCTTTCAAGGCCCTTCATGGTGATCTAGCCTCTACTTACCATCCTTTCCCACTCCAGCCCCCGCTTAGGGTTCCTCAAATATGCCAGCTCCTTTCTGCTTCTTTTTGCTTCCTTGCATGTGCCTCAGCCCCTGGCTGCAGCACCCTCCCCTCCACTGTGCCTTTCACGTGGCCAACACCTACTTATTTTCTCGGTCTCAGCTTAAGTGTGCCTCTTCTGGGAAGTTTCCCTGACCTTCCACATTCCTGCAGTCCCCTCCAGACCACAGCGGTCCCCTTGTTCTGCACTTTCAAGTCCCCCCTTTCTCTCTTTCTCTAACTAGTTGTAATAAAATGATTACTGGTGCAGTTAATTTAGCGTCTGATTAGAGAAATGATTTTCAGCTAGGGATGATTTTGGCCCCCACAAGACAACTGGCAATATCTGGAGACATTTTTGGTTGTCACAACTGAGGAGGGGGTGTACTCCTGACGTTTAGAGGGCAGAAGGCAGAGATGCTGCTAAGCAGCCTACCGTGCACAGGACAGATACCCATAACAAAAAATTATCCAAACCAGCACATCTATAGTGTTCTCAACATGTCCATAGAAAAAGACTTGTGCTGGAGTACAAGCCCCACGGGGCCAGGAACTGTTTCTTCAAGTGTCACAATTTCACCAGTGCCTAGCAAACAGCGAGCAATTCATGAATGTTTGTGAAGGAAAGGAGAGAAGGAGAAGGAAGTGGGTCATAGAATAAAATGCTAGAACCCCATTGAGTGGGGCTGATGTGTACAATGTCCCTGAGGTTGTGGGGAGTAGAGAACTGGGGAGACACACGTAAAGAGAGCTGAGATGGGCAGACCGACCTCAGGAGCCTTGAACACTGGGCTAAACAATGTTGCCTCCATTCTATAAGCAATGGGGTGGCAGGGGGGCATGGGAGTCTTTCTTTCCACTAATATTAATAAAATATTTTTGTGGCCAAAAATTATCTGATCAAACTGGCACCTCAGGAAGAGATCTGGGAACAGTGAGAATTCTGTCTTGAGAAAGGGGATTTGACTTGCTAGTGACAGAGGCTGGTCTTAATCCACAAATATCCCTCCTTATTTTACTGATGCACATTGGGGAAGCCTGTTTGCAACCACTGTCTGAAGAGCTGGCAAGACTGCGAGTGAAGGGACAGGTCTCAAACTTTGAGGCCACAGGCACCTGCTTGGTGCCAGGTCTGCTGCTCTTACTGACTCACCGTGTGACCTCATCAGCACTTCCTCTCTCCATCCCTCACCTTCCTGAACTGTAAAAGGAAGTCAATTCTCTTCACCCATTTATAACACTGAGCACAGCTGTGTGCACAAATGGGCATCTATTGGGATAATTTCATAGAGAATATTATAGGCCAGGGTTTTGTTAACTTTAGTGTCCTTTGACCAGGGGTTCTCAAGTCTGACGGCATATTTAAATCACCTGGAGAGCGTTCTGAAAAAACAAACCCCCCCCCCCCCCCCCCCCCCGCCAGGCCCTGCCCCAGATTAATTAAATCAGAATCTCCAGGGCTGTGGCCTGGGCTCCAGTATTGATAAAGCTCCCCAGGTGATTTTTGAGGTACAAAGTTGTGATCCCTGCCCTAGAAGCTGCCTTTTTTTTCTTTTTTGAGACAAGGCTACCCTTTTAACGGCTGGTTCTGATGCAGGTGATCCCAGGGCCTTACTGTCCTTGAGTCACTGTGCTCTCCCCAGTTGTTGCCTCTTTTGTATCAGAAAGGTGACTTTTCAATATCAGGATTAGAGATTGTGGGGACAACAAATCTCAGAATGTGAAGAGAATTCCTCTTTGGCGGGGGTCACAGAACATTATACATGGTGGGTGTGAAAAGAAAAGTTAAAACTCAAGCTAATTAATTAAGTGGAGAGGAGGTATGTGTAATTCTGTTAGCATTTGAAAAATGGGATTCAGGCAGGCATTTTGCAAAATTGTGCTTTCCAAGGAAACCGATACAGGGTGATGTGTTGCAAGATTCTTGTCAAAGGAAGGGGATCCAAGTACAAATGTTGCAACACTGTGCTGCCAAAGGAAGTGGAAGCTAGGGAAGTGGCTTCTTAGTCTGTCAGATCTGGAACAAAGCTCAAAGATCATCTTGACCAGTCTTCTCACTGGACAGAAGGGGAAACTAAGACAGAGAGGAAAAGGCTCGTGCCCAGGGCCAGGCAGGGAGTTACTGATCCGTTCAAACTGCAGTCCAGGTTTCCTGACCACCACCCACCTGCGGCCGCTTCCTCTTCTTGAGTATCTATCACCTCACTGTTTCCCTCTGGGTGCCTCCACATCCCCACCCTCCAGATAGCGCCCAAGGTCAAAGGATGAGCCTAAATCTGGCCGGGATCTAAGCCTGCCAGATGACAGGGGCGAAAGCCAGTGGTGGCGGTGGCAAGCTGGAGAGGAAGAAGCAGTGTCTGATGATGTGGCCTGACCTCAGAAAGGAAGCCTGGTTGGTCACCAGGGGGAATTTCCCCGGGTGAGGTCTCATGTCTATGCAAATATTGCACTGCGATTAACCTGGACCCTGGGATGGGAGAGAGAAAAGAGGAGAGAGGACACTGGGAAAGACAGAGAGAAGGGCAGGTAATAGGATCTGAACATCCCCAGGGTATCAGGTACTGTGCTAGGCTCCTCACGCATTTAATCTCATTTTGCCCCTAAAGTATCTTCCAACGTAGGAAAATTGAGAGTCTGAGGCCCAGTGAGAGAGTGCATTGCTCAAGCAAAATGAGCACATTCCAACGCCAATGGGAGATCAGGCTTCAGGGAGAGGCGACCATGGTGATGGCACTGCTGCTGCTGCTGACAAAGGTGACAGTAATGAGGCTTGAGTCCAGAGTCCAGAGTCTAGCAAGGTTTCATTTTAGGTTTCCATCTCACTCACCAGGGGAGTTTTATCCTGGGAACAGCCAAAACAGCAGGAAGGTAGTGACCCTGACTCAAGGGCAAATCCCAGCACTCTGGTTTTTCAAGGCCTTGTAGGGGCAAGGGATGTGGGAGAGCTGACACTATTAACGCCTTCACCACCAGTTTCGGGAACACTCCTGGAAAAGGGAATAGAATGGGATCCATGCTTTTGAAGAAGAATCACTCTCTGCTACCTCTTTAAATTTCCCTCGCCATGCACCTCACCAATTCCAGAAAGCCTTCCCTGGGGACTTTACTCCTCTCCCAAGGCTTGATCCCATTTACTGCCTGGTTCTCCAGGGAGCTGGTCTTGTCTCCCAGAGCAGGACGCCAAGTAGGATCAGAGCTCAAGTCACAGCTGTTGGGCTCAAAGCCTGTCCTCTACATAGCCTGGTTGGTTACTGTCCTGATGGGCTTACAAAAGAACGAGCAGACTCCTGATTTCTGGAGGTGTGTGGGGCACAGTAAGGCTGTGCGCTAAGAAAAATGTGAGTGTGCACATGCCCCACTGTGTGTGAAGAACAGGATATATATGTGAGGAATTTCCCATGTGGACAGCGTGCACGCGCACACACACATACACACACACACACACACACACACACACACATATACCCCGTGGTTGTTACCAGCAAATAAAAAAATATTATTTTCCCTGTGTGGTCAACAATGTGTGTCTCTGTATGTGTTACCAGCAGAATAACTTACACTCCTTAGTATTAGCGGCAATCTATTTCTCATTCTAGTGTGTGCCCTGTGGGTATGGCTGGCAGTCATTGTGTGTGTGACAAGCAGTATTTATGGACCTTGAGTGGATAGAAAGCACGTGGGAAAGTGGGGTATGGAATGTCAATTTCCCACCCTCCCTGCTTTCCTTTCAGGCCCTCCCAGGAGGGGTTCTGCATGCAGCTGGCAGCAAAACAGGCAGATGGTGGTAGCTGGGAGGAAGGGGAGGGACCATCTCACAGAAGAAAATGAATGTTCTGGAAA